GTTTTTTGGAACTTAACCCTTCATAACATAAAAACTATTTTACCCATGCACTTCAAATGTTTAGGTTAAGTTCTTGATGGTATTTGCGAAAGAACTCTGTAAAAACATTGTCTCAGGGTACACAAGTTTTTCTGCTATGATACGTTGTTTCCAAAAAAATTAAAATGGCGTTCACGGCGTTTTTGCGTTGCACGGCAGTATGGGAATGACCACTCTCCAGAATTAGGATAGCCTTCTTATACAGAACTCCGGGCTGGCATCGATAAAGGCTGACCCACAGTTACAAAATCCAAAAGGCCTAGGTTCCTGCATCGAAACTCAGATTTTCCACAGATAAGACTGAAATTACAGTGATCTCACGGCCCCTATTCGAAATGAGGGCTTACTTTCGCGCTGTGCGCTCACTTTCAGCACTCATGTAATAAGTTCCCCCTATGTGATTGCAGAGAGCGGTGCGCGCGGCGCAGCGCACAGTGGGTCGAGTCAAATAGAGAAGTCGGAAATGCAATTTTTGACTAAAACTGCAAATTTTGGTGTTTACTTCGTCACATTTTAAACTTTAAGGGGTGCTAAAGGATGAAAATTTCACGGGTAAACCGATGGAACCACTTTCAGAACCTCAAAATTTTGTATAAACGGAGTTATGAGCGTTTAAAGTTTCCAAATTTTTTCGGACTTCTCCTATCGACTCGATCCTCTGTGCGGCGCGGCGGCGCCAGTGGTCGTTGTCCTCCAGTCGAGTTGTAATCAGACGACCGCTCCAGAACTATCACTCTCGCCAACAAGGTTATCACTACATGTTACGCATAGGAGTGTACTTAAATGGTTCCATTTCTGAACACACGCGTTTATTATCGTCTAAACAGTGCGATACTCGGTTTATTTCTTTTAATTCGCAAAGCCGTTGATTACACAATGATTCAAAAAATTTAAAAACCAGCCGAAAGTTTTACTTTATCAGGGTGTCTCTAGTTGTTTTTTTTTCAATTTGGGAAATCCTGATAAAATCCTGATTTTTGACTGCTGAATCCTGAATTCTGCATAAGTAACAATCCGTCGTTAGACATGATCTATATTTATTTTTGCTGACTTCTAGGACTCAAACAATTGGCTGTATTTAGGGGAAATAGACCCATTGTAACGCTATCGTTGCGTAGGCAGGAATAATTGCTGCTTTGGCGATTTCGACGATACTTGTGATGTGACGGCTCTGTTGTGGAGACGGATATGCTGATACAGCATTACACATGCAATTTAGACTGACAATGAGAACAATTGATTGGGTCCTGAATCAACCGTCAGCAGTTTAAGTAAGGGCTGCACATGATTTTTCTCTTACATCAGGCCAAAATTTCGCGGAGGCCACGAATAAAGAAAAATAGACAGAGAGAAAGAAAGAGAGAAGGAAAGAAAAAAGAAAAAAAAAACACCAAAACTTTATGGGCTTGTTGTCCCCGAAGAATGGTGTGGACTCAGTACCATTTGACCACCTTGCTCAAAGTCAAAAGGGTTCTGTCGAATTTATGATTTGGTGTATGTAGGCTTTTGAAAGAATTAATGAACAGTTTTTTTTTCCCTTGATGAGTTGTAACTGCAGTAAATCATCCCTTCTCAGCGTAGTAAAATTTCCCTCATTTGCGCGTTTTTTGGGTCCCCTATTTCCCACTCGTATAGCGAAGAAAATAAATCGGTGGTCATGGCAACCGAAGCGTAACACACTAACACACCTGGCGCTTTACGGTCGCCGAGTGGAAGGGTGCGGCAGATGGTTCCGGTATAATCTTGGAGCATAAAATGACATGAATCCTTATGACGGCCAAAATAAAAAAAAAAAAGAAGAAAAGAGCTAAAAATTGAGCTTACGTAAGTTCATCGAAGAGCGTTTTCGGAAATGTTCAATTTGTCAACCTTATTTCGTGTAATAATTTCGAAAATGTATGTCTGGCCCTCTTCAGAGATCCATCCATTTACTGATCGAGACATCTGATTGTCCCTTTTTTTGGTCGTAACGGTTGTGTAATTATTCGCGTTACGGACGATGCGTCGTGAGTTCGTGAAAGTCGCGCAAATCGAGGTTCGCGGTTCGGAATTAGGGTTGCCAAAACGAGCATTTGCTTGCGTTGCAGCCGGCCGCGGCCCACCACGATACCGCATTTGGATACGGAGGCCTCTTCGGGTCGAGCAACCAGCGCTGCATGCCGTGCTACGAAAGAACGCCATAGGAGCCTTCAGACATTGCCATATTTCCTTCAATGAAACAACAAATTTACTGAGAAAGTTATGAGATGTTTTCTCCAAAATTTTCAGACAATATTGTTCACAATTAAGTCTAAAATATCCACAAATTAAAAAAAAAAAAAACAAAAAAAAAGCATGACTATTCTCAAAAACACATGTTTTAGCCGGGGAAATTTGGCAGCAATCGAATGTTCATTGTTCATATGGCGTTTTTCCTTGGCATGGCAAGTGGTGGAATCAGGGCTTCATTTAAACAACCCTGCAAGCTCCAGCTCTTGTTTCGAATGAGGACTACCTTTAATAAACACCAGCGAAAAAACTGAAAATATTTCTATAACAACTCGCAGCCATAAATTAGGACTTTTTGCTGCTCTTCCCAACACGATTTTTCCTCCTTCCGTAAAGTTTCAATTTTCAAGCCTTATTAATCTTGGAAAAAATAGCTTTCGGTTCAAAGTTCTTATGGGATATTTTAGGTAATATTCTCGATGAAATTAAATTTTCCTGGAAAGAAAGAATACAATTCTTTTCTGATAGAGTGGGGTGGTTGATTATCTTTATTATTGGGGCTCGTAACAAAACTTGATACCGAGGCCCGAGAATTGCTATGGCAAGTCTGCTTAAATGTACTTTTTAATTACTTTCATGGTTAATTACCTGATATTTAAATTAAAATGAAGGGTGAGGACCTAATTGCATTGCAACGTTTCGAAGTTTCACATGAAAACTTCTTTTTCAATCATAAACGGATGACAATTTTAGTACAACGCAAACAGGAAATTTTGATCAGATCACAAAGAAAAATCACAAAAATTTAAAAAAAAAAAAAATTAGAAAAACTTGAGTAATGGTTACATTGTCAAGTGAAATTTTACAACGTTGTGATGCAATTGGACATATTTCTGTCAAATGGAACTAAGCTCCATCGGGGGAGGAAAGTAGAGGGGGGCTTGGATTGGCGGCGAAACCGGGCGTCGGGCTCATTTCGTTCCTATACTCGCAATGCTTTTTCATGGCGCTTAGTTCCGTTTGACAGAACGCGCTATCCGGCATTCCAAATTCCTCGATAGGAACTCAAATTGGCGCTTAGTTCCGTTTGGCAGATTTACGTTCAATTGAGCGCCTCTGACTCTCACCCCGTGAATTAAAACCATTTTCCTGGTTAGATATGGCAACCACGCTTCGAGCGCATCGGTCGGAGCAGCTGTATTCAGAATTGATTACGACTTGCGCCGGATTAAAACGGTCCTAACAAAATTCGGTCATTGCAACATTAGCTTGTTGTTGCCCTCCCCCTCCACGTTTGACCACTGATGACCCTTTCCCTTTTCCGCTGTCCGCATCCGATCGTCCTTCAGCCGGGCGGCCCAGAGTGATAAGGAAGCCGTTCCATTTAAGTTCTTTTCTGCTGGGATTCAGACTTTCGAAGTTAGCATTTTGGGGCAATTGAAGGTTAGAGCTATAAATAAAATTAATCAAAACAGCGTCTGAGTTTGCGGGAAAAGGGACCCGAGAATCGGAAAACTCAGCAATAATATATTACTACTAGGGGGCTACGCCCCCTGGCCGCTACGCGGCCCAACCCCCTGAAGGCGCTCCGCGCCATCAATGGGCCGCTTCGCGGCCCTATTTTTACCCTCCTATCAGTGTTAGTTTTATTTTTCCCCTAAAAAAATACGATATGAGGTATACTTTAATTTTAAACTTTACTTTAAAATACTTTAAAATTAAAAGGACGCGTTTTGGAATGACTGCTTGATGAAATATTGCAATAAAACAATGAACAGTGAAAGCCAGGTAATAATTAGGACTTCATGAGTCGGGGATCGAACCCACACTGTGATCAAAGCGGACGCATTCTACGTCTTAGACGACTCGGCCACCGCTCGGCATGAGGTCGTGGGTGCGAATCTTGTGTAGATAAGTGTAGAGCTGATGCGCAGGCTACCCAGCTACTGCGCAACCTCCTCGACCACTGCGCATCCTCCCGCGCATAGCGGCAGCAGTCCCGGAGCATTCTGTAAAGTTACTCACTTTTATAACGTGATTTCGAAAAAACCTGGGTCCTATTTCCAAAATCTAATTAGAGCGGGCACATCTAGGGCCAATTACCTGACGATCTACGCAAAAATCATGGAAATCGGCCCGGTAGAACGCTCAAACGAACTATGACAAAAAGTATAAATTTACATTGTTCTTATGGGAGAATTCGCAACTTTACCACGTAATATAAAAAAACCTGGGCCATATTTTGAAAATCTGAAAAGAGTTGGCTTATCTAGAGACAATTGCCCGTCGATTGCCGCAAAAATCATGAAAATCGGCCCGGTAGAAGGCTGGAACTAAGCGTCACCAGTTTCGCAAAATTAGGAGGTCTCGGAGCTTATAGTATAGATAAAGGAGGAGAAGAAGAAGAAGAAAGAGAGAGAAAAAGCACAAACATGTTGAATCAACCCGAAGTCGAGACAATTCAGCGGTAGCAGTTAAACAAACACCGTTTGAAAAGAAACCTATTTACAGTTTTAATCTTCCACGTTCGGGGTTCAAAATCATTAGGAAAAAGTGCAGCTTTGCGCCTTCTTTTGACACAAATAAGAACCAAAGCACTCGAAACTGATTTTTTGCAAGTTTTTCACCATAAAACTGAAGACAGGCCTTTTTAGATCCAACTCAACGAATAGTTCTCCTAAAATTTTGCCTCCCAAGACCAAGGCAACAAAGAGCCTAGAGGGAGAAAAGTAGAAATAAAGCTCAAAACTTACTGGTAATCTTCTTCTTCCCGTTTTTTTGGTTGGTAATTTTTTACAAGTCTCCTGAAACAAACAAATGCAAACGACGAGTCAAATTTTGCAACGGTAGGTATATACAAGAAAATATATACATTGAACGTATAAAGAAGTTTAAATGGGCAAAAACATTCTTAGAACAAACTACAGTACTTTAACCGCTTTGGTTTAACCCGCTAAGTCGAAAGTTCCGGGCGTAGCACCCGGAGCAATCGAAGATACGGCTCCAGAACCCGGAACTTTCGTCCTCTGAGCCCGGAACGGACGGTATGTGTATGTATCCCGTAACTCTCTTTTCAGTGCGGATTAAGTCGAGGAATTGCAAAGGCTAACAAATAATAGTGGGTATAGAGGACCCGAAGATCTGCAATGAAGATCTCCTGACCTGACGCAACACGGCAGCAGGCGCTCCCACAGGTAAGTACTGAGGCAGACACAAAATCCCTCGAGGGACGACAGACAATCTCTTCATGCTGTCAGGGCGGTCTACTGACTGTCTGCCTGTCTGGGTGCTGTCTAGGACTGTCCGACTCCTGCCCGATGAAACTGCTAATCGGTATGTCAATCTATCATTCTAGTTGCCCGTCTACATTTAAGACAGTGTCTTCTTTATTACTGGTGCGGAGGTAAGATTGCGCCGTGGGTATCTTGCATCATACAGCATAGGTGAGGTAAAGTTCGCGTTCTTTGCATTTCAAAGAACTTCACGTTGTGAAACGGATGAAGTCATGTACACTCATCGATTGAATTCTTTCATTAAAATTATTAATTTTTTACTCCTTGCTTACAATTTTTAAGCAAGCCAACAAATAACTCTGATTTTTTATATGCTGAAACAATCAGAACGCCGGGCGTTTCTTGAAAAAAACAAAAAAAAAACAAAAAAAAAAAAAACAAACAAACAACAAACAAATAATCCCGACTATCATGATGGGTGGAATAATCATCTTGGTTGCTGTTCCATCCTAGATGGCCAAACCTGAGAATTCGAACTTATGTGAGTGTGTGGCAGTGCATTGTGTAGAGAATTTTTACCAAATTCCTAGTGAGAATTTGTGAAAAAGCTAATTTTGAGGTGAAAAACTGAATTTTCAGCATACAGGGCTTTCCGATCAGAAGTTTTCAAGTAACATTCCTTCTCCCGTCGAACAGTAATATAAAGGCATCAAATGGATTAGTTCAGGTTTCTACCAAAAGTGCCTGCGTATTCTTGCGACAAGATGTTTTACAACCTCAAAACCAATATTCAGATACAGGGTCGGATTAAGGGGGCGGCCACATGGGCCGCGGCCCATGGCGGCAAATCTAGGAGGCGGCAAATTTTGCAATTTTTTTTAAAAATCGGATTTAGAAAAAAAAATTACAAACGAGAAAAGGCTACGAAATCTCTCATTTCCTGACAGTACAGTAATTTCTAATTTTGTCGTCTTTCGGTGGTACAAGAGACGGCACCTTTGATTAGTCGAGTTAAGAGAGAAACCAAACACACAATTTGGCTTGGAAGGGCGCAACTTAGGGAGAAATGATGACGAGGACTTGAGATGAAAAGGAGAAGCCCTCGGCACGGCAATCGGCATGTAACACATATTTAGTCCAGGCGCCTGGTAGCTAAAAATGAGGCTACCTGGAATTTTGGGTACACAGCGATTTTTTTGGCTTACTTTATGTTTTTTGGGTCGCTGAATCCGAATCTGAAGTTTCCGCACGCGTATCTGGTGAGCATTTTCCGCTATTTTGAAAAAATGGCCTAAAAAGGCCTTTTTTTGCGGGTTTTTTTATATAGCGGCTACGGATGAGGAAAAGTCCCGGATTTAGCTAATGTTTTGAATAGCTGACAAAATTTGGAAGAAAATGGTATATGAATATGCTAGGTTTGCTCAAAAATTGAGGAACCTCGGATTTCGGAACTTTAGAACGCTTCGGAACTTGGCTGACCGCGGCGAGCCGGATCGCGCGTTGACGGGTGCGCCGCGAAAACGTGAATAGGCGCGATGTTCACGATGCTGTATCTTCCTCAATTTTTAAGCAAACCTAACATATGTATACACCATTTTCTTCCAAATTATGTCAGCTATTCAAAATATTAGCTAAATCCGGGACTTTTCCTCATCCGTAGCCGCTATATCAAAAAAACCGCAAAAAAAGGCCTTTTTAGGCCATTTTTTCAAAATAGCGGAAAATGCTCACCAGATACGCGTGCGGAAACTTCAGATTCGGATTCAGCGACCCAAAAAACATTAAGTAGGCCAAAAAAATCGCTGTGTACCCAAAATTCCAGGTAGACTTACCAGGCGCCTGGACTATATTAGCGCCTACAAGACTGCACGAAGACTTCACGCACTGCATCAAACACTGTGCGGTCAGCGTGAAACGCATAGCGCCTATAAGACTGCGTGAATACTTCACGCGTTGCGCCAAACACGGTGCGGTCGGCGCGGCGGCCGGCGGAAGTTAAAATCATTAAACCAAATTTTGTGTTTGTTCTTTCATAAGTTTTTCGTTCATTTCTTATGAATGGAAGGCCTTGTCCATTAGAGGTAGGTCTACGAAACTTGACTTTCGCGCAAAGTTCCGTGACCTTCTGCTAGTAGTGTTGACAGGCCTTTCCCAAAAAATGTGTTCAACACGAGTAAACGCGTCTTATGCACCCCTTCCCCGCTGGCACGTTCACTTGATGGTTTTCATTGATGTTTCAAAACGAATGAGAAGGGGGCAGCAAGATACAGGCGGCCCATGGGCGGCAAGTAGGGTAATCCGTTCCTGTTCAGATATTCTCTGTCTAAGAGGTAACGGCTGTCCCAACTAATACCGTTCACTCGTTTCCAGAATGAAAAATTCTCACCATACGCGAAACTGCGGATCTAACTTCTTACTTCAACCCCCCCCCCCTTTCAGGACGAAGTATCCTTTCCTCTATCCAAAACATTTCGCCCTGACTTCGTGTTTGTGCTGAGTGCAACTCTGCCGTGCGCTAAGAAAAAACGCCGTATTAACATTCGAGGGTTGCCACAGTTCCCTCACTAAAATGCTCACTTTTAAGGAAATTTATGACTATTTTTCCCTGAAATTTTCAGAAACTTCGGGTGAAATTGCCAACAAAATTATCTGAAAAATTGAAAGAATATTCATAAGTTTCATGGAAAAGTCGTGTTTAATCAGAGGAAATTTGGCAACACCTGTAGATTCATACTGCTTTTTTTCCATAGCACGGCAGAACTGCCCCTATCATCAGGAGGGTGTGTCGAAATCCTACTCGCCTCGTGTTCCGCGGGTCGCGCGTCGTCACCCCGCGTGGCCGCGTCTTTTTGGCGGATTAAAGAGGCGTGAACCACTGAACCCGGCTCGGTGCGCGACTCGAGGGTGCAGTTATTCGCACGCAACGAGACGATAATTCCAGACCCGATCATCGTCGGAGGCGTCACGCCCGCATTCCGAAAAAACCACCGACTCTTATTTGGGCGGATCCGAGAGACTCGCCCTTGCTCCCATTTGCTCGCCCGGGGACCGTGCAGACAATACTGCCCTGCTAAGGAAGAACGCCGTATGAACATTCGAAAGTTGCCAAATTTCCCTTGAAAAAATATGTATTATTGACAACATCCGTGCATATTTTTCCTTGAAATTTCCAGATATTTTAGATTAAATTGCGTACAAAATTGTTTGACAATTTTGGAAAATGATATTCGCAATTTTCCCAGTAAATTCGGTTTTTATCGGAGGAAACTTGGCAACGCCTGAAGGTTCATACGGCGTTTTTCCTTAGCACGGCAGAATACAATTTGCCCGCAACTCGGTTTGATGTCGTGAATCCTCTCCGGGTCGGAAAGCAAACACAGACTTTCGACTTGAAAATAGGCGATGAGAATACACATCAACGTCTTGTGTGCAGGGCCAGATCAGCGCTGAGGGGCACAGGGTGCTGATTAGATTAGAGGTCCCAAATCTTAAAAATTTAGGGCCCCTATATTCTATTATTTCTATATTCTATTCTAGGCTGAAGCAGGGTGTCTACTGAAACAGGTTAGCCAAAAATCAGTACTTTTACAGTACTTTTCCAGTCCATTCCCATAACATTTGGTACCTCTTCATAAGAGAAATTCTGTACTTTTTCAGTGCCTCCAATAGACGAAATTCGAAAATTTTCAAAAATTTTAATTTCTCGCTCGAATTGCGACAAAAATGACAAAAATTCCGGATCTTCTCACAAAAATCCGCACTTTTTCAGTACTTCCGGACCGCCCTTATAGAACCGGTACTATATCCGGACTTTCCGGAAATTCCGGCCTTGTAGACACCCTGTTAGGGCAGGTTCAATAATCTCTGGTCAAACTGCTGGTTACGTTTGACGAGAGGATACATACGAAAGTAGCGTTTTACTACCTCCTGTAACCACAAACTCCCGATCAAATTTAGCGCGACAGAGGGAGAAATTGGAAAATTTTGACAGGTGCTTTACCCCGGTGGCCCTCTAATTTGATCAAAATTCGACGGGTCGTCCGATTTCAATCAGAGTAGAATGTCGCAGGGGTGTCTGAGAGTCATCAAAGGGGCTGTTCATAAATTTCGTCCCCCATTTTTTCGGATTTTTAACCCCTTCCTCCCCCTTTGCCACCTACATGTCACTCTCCTCCAGACCTTCCCCCACTAAAAAGTACGTCATTTCAAGCGCACCCTCACCTTTTAGCGGAAGTGTGGGGTTGTAGCACACAGGCGTATCACATGTTTGTTATAATGACTTAAAAATAACGTTGATCATACAAGAAAAGTCTAAAACCCACTCATTTTCTCACTATGGTACGATTTCACCTAGATGTCACTCACCTCCAGACCCCCCTCCCCCTGGGTGGGCGGCGTAATTTATGGACGGCCCCAAATGGTCTATTTTCATCGAAATAAGTTCAGAATTTGATAGTCAATCGAGACCTGTAATGAAATGAGCAGGCAAGGTCAGGTAAATTGCGAATTCCTTCGAAAAAATTTCTAAGCAGCGCGAAATTTGCGAGGCGGCGAGAGGTGCCCGGTGCCGA